TTATTATTCAGAAAAGTAAGTAGATTAATATGAAATTAGAATATAGAGTTCTGGAAATAGCAAAGGGAGATGAACAAAAGTGTAACTTCTGTTTTCTAGATTTTGATGACCCAACTCTCCTTAATTTTGATGCTGCTCCTGCTACTCATCAAATGGTGGCTTCTAATACTCCTGATGGTTATTCTGACATTATATTTATCTGTGGTGAATGTAAAAACGATTATGATAATAATACTCTTCCATGATGTGAGAATGTGGTAGGTTAAAAAGGAATAGAAACAGATGTTTTTGTAGTCATTTAAAAACTAAATCAACTAAACCACTTTCTGACAAAGAACTACTTTCACAAGCTTTCAGTTTTCTCCTAGAAAATAAAACTAGAGAACTAGAAAAAGAGTTATCAATTACCAAAGAAGAATTAAAAATTGAAAGAGAAGTAGCCAAGTTCCAGGAAAAATCTGAAGAGTGAAGTAAAAAGCAAAAACAGGAATTATTAGATAAGGTAAGGGTTTAGAAGAAAGAATTAAACAACTAGAAGAGGAAAATAGGAAATTAAAAGATCAACAGAATGGTCAAGTTGCTCAAATTGAAGTTAAAGAGACTAAAAGATGATCTTGATTGAAAATGAGAAAGTAGTTTAAAGAATATTCTGTATAAATTGAAATTCATTCCAACTATCAAAGAAAATGGTAGTTATTTTCCTTTTAAAGATTTTTGCTTTTTATTAGGTAATAATGCATCATCATGATGTTTTCTTTTTCTAACACTTATTATTTTTCTTTCTTCTTAGTAAATTTCATAGGTAATCTTTTCTTTTCTTAGATAAGTTTCCAGTGTTTGAGTGTCATTTATCTTGAAAATGTAAGGAGCAATTTTCTCACTTATTCCTTCTTCAAAATACTTCTGATAGTACTATAATTCTTGGGTTCCATGGTAGACCTAATGTAAATTAACTTCATATTAACTATTTTTATATAGAGGTAATTCTATATATCACTTAATATTAAGGGGATAACAAATGGAAAATTTTAATAATCACATTACTAAATTTTGATCCCTGAAATCCTTGGTAATACCAATGTTCACTTTGTCTGGTTTTGTTGCAGCATGACCCATATAATGGATGATAATTCATGATCAAAGGTAAAATGTTGATTTGATGAAGTCAATGAAAAGCTAAAAGCAAATAATATATTAGACTGTATAATGAAAAACCAAGTCTATGTATTAAAAACATTCAATAAAGAAATACTATATATATATTAATTTTTTTAATTATTATAAACATTTTATTTTTATCATTCCCTCTTAGAGCTCCGAACGAGTCGGGTCGGGTCGGGTCAGTGGTTCAACCCGTCCCGACTCGAACTTTTAAACAGTTGACCCGACCCGACCCGTCGGGTCAACGGGTCACAGATTAAGAAAATTACAAAT